ATGTTTCTCTCTGTTCATGACAACTATATTATTCGACCCACATCTATCGAGATGTTTATTCACGTTTGAAATTCGTCAAAATGACTATTAATCAATGATATCATTATAAAAAAAAGATGACAGAATTTTAATAATTGGTCATAAGTATCTTATAGATGTTTTTTTGTTGTTGTTGTTTTTTTTAAATCATAGTCTCGCGACTAATTTATTCTCTAGACTTCCAGGTTGGATTTTAGGATTTCATTCTGGATTTTCACTTAAAAAGTTTTTTTTTCTTTCGAAACTGTTTTGCTCTCGTTTTTCGTTCTTCAATTCCATTGTTCCATTATGTTCTCTTTCTTCATCTTGGCGATTTTCTCTTTCGTGTTATCCTGTTCCTGATTGTTTTTTTTTTTCTTATATTTCGCTTTTTGGGTTTTTTGATACGTCCGTTTTCTCAGAATACTTTCATTCTGTTTATTTCCAACCTTTTTATATATGCACCTTTTTATTTATATTCTTCTTCTTTACACAAATTCCTCTTTCTTTCATTTTTCAATTTAAATCAACGTTGGGTTCTTCCAGGTTGCTTTTTAATTACTTGATTCCTTCAATTCTTTTTCATTTCCTCTTATATTTCATCTTTCTTTGTTTTTTGTTGTTAATCTAACATCATTTTAGTTTCAAATTTTCTTCTTTCTTACTTATTTTCCTTCATTTTTCAAACCTATTCCTGTACTTCTTTCTTGTCTTCTCTCTTTCTTTCAGTCACCCATTCCCCCACCTCTCCCTCTCTCTCTCATTCTGTCTCGGCAACTTTTTTTCCCCTTTTTTTCTCATAGCAAATCGATTGTTGATTCTTTCTTTCTTTTTTCTCTTCTGCATCTTTCTCTTTTTTTTATCATTTCCTCCTGAATTTCATTTCTTCCTTCAGTTTGTTTTTTGTTTAATTTCTTCTAATCCTCTTTTCTTCCTAACTTTCTTCCTTTTTTTTCCTTTCCTTTTTTTTCTTTCCAGCTTGCATTCTCGAACTTCATTCTTTGTTTCTAGCTCGGCATCCCTGTGTTTTTTCTGTCATTTTTTTCTTTCTTTCTTTCATCTTTCTTTTTTTTTTTGGCATTCTTTCTTGTTCTACTTCTCAGTTGCTTTTATGTTATTCATGTTCTCTTTTTTTAGTTTGCCTTCTCGATCTTCTTCCTTTTCCTTTCTTTCTTTCTTTCTTTCTTTCTTTCTTTCTTTCTTTCTTTTCTTTCTTTCTTTATTCTTCGTTTCTACCTCAATTTCTCAGTGTTTTTATGTCATTCTAGTTCTTTTCCCGAGTTTGCCTTCTCGATCTTTCTTTTATCTTTTTCTTTCATTCTTTCTTTCTTTCTTTCTTTCTTTCTTTCTTTCTTTCTTTCTTCAGTATTCTCCTACCTTTTGCCTTTTTTTTTCCAGAATTTCTTTTCTTTCTGCCTCTTTCTTAGTATATAGTTACTTGTCAGTAATGCGTTTGTTGATTCCATTGTTTTTACTTCCTTCCTCATGCAAAATCTTATTGACAAATTCCTTCCTTTCCTTACTAAAAATAAAACACAAATAACCAGCCATATTTCTTTTTAATTCGTTTAGTTTTCCTTTCCATTTCTCTCGTTTTTTTTTTCCCAGCATTTTCCTTCTCCTCTATGTGCGACGCATCGGAAATCGGCTGACAGAAAATCATTTATGTCACGTGTCATACCCGACAGATATTGAAGAGAAAACTTTGACATCACCCAAACAGAATAGGCTGCATAACATACATTTCTATAACCCAACCGCCATGTTATAAAAAAAAAGCATACACGGAAGGAAGAAAGAAAGAAAGAAAGAAGGAAAGAAAGAAGGAAGGAAAAAAAGAAGGAAAGAAAAAAACATTCTGAATCGGAGAAAACACAGGAAAAGCAACAGTGCAACCCCCCTACAACATATTTAAGAAATAACAGCCGTAGAAAAAGCAAACAAATGGATCGTATTTTTTCTTAAACCTTAAACAAACATAGCATTTCTAATATTCATTTTATTTTTTACTCTCACTCTATCTCATTTAAAACTATTCCATTTTTATTTATTTGTTCTCTTTTCACCCATCTCCCCAGATTCTCCAGGCGATTAATCCCGCTTCCGGGAATTGTTAATATCATTGTTGTAAAAATCCAAATATACTTGTGCTATTATTGTCCTGAAATAAAAATGAAAAATAAAAACAGAATAGAAAGAAAACATTACTGCTATTTTTGTGAGGAGTGGAGAAAATTCAAAACATAAAAAGAATAAAATTTAAAAAAAAATATAAAAAATGAACAAAACTGCTATTATTCTCTGTTCAAAATTTCTTACTTCATCACCGGAAGTTGAGTACAGAGATTTCTTATAAGGCTACGTCATATCCGGTATCACATTCATAATGGCTTCTACATATATTTTATTTAGTTTAAAGAATTCACAATTTATTTTACTTTTTACTGCATGCCTTGAGGAATGATTTTACAGCTTGTTTGTTAATAATAATTTTTGCCACAGCCAATGAAAGAAAATGATGAAACTGAACAAACAAAAATATCGACCTTCATTGAAACTATTTATTATCTCTATTTATTTTCAAGGTTTTATTTATTTTTTTCGTATTCGATATAGTTGCAGTAATATTGCAAGAGGTTAGCTGCAGGAATTTCAATCATCAACTTCAATATTTGTTGTGATATTCATAGAATGGTGATGATAAAATTTAATGGGAGGAAATTATGTTCATAGAAACATATCATGCTATATATACTTACACCCAAACGAACAAATATATGCGCGCGCAGACCCCCCCACACACACACATGTGTATTAGATTTTTTTTTACTACAATACCATCTACATAAGCAGTATCACCATCCACAAGGACATCAGTTGGCGAGTCTTCCCTCTTTCTCTGTTTATTTGTCTCACCGTTGATGAAGGATACATTTTATGGTTTTATATTCCCCCACCTCTCTCTCTCTCTCTCTCTCTCTATCTATCTATCTATCTATCTATATATATATATATATATATATATATATATATATTAAATACGATATATATTTAATACAATTAATCCCTGTATATTTTAAATATAAAATATAAATTGCGTCTATATAAACATTATATATATATATATATATATTTTTTTTTTTATTAAAATTTAAATTATACAACGGTTAATGTCTACTAAACATCTGAAGACTGTTTTGTGCCTGAAACTCCGAGTCGTGCTAGCGGTTAGGAATAAAATATATATTTATTAATATATACTTAAAAGCTCTGTTATATTACATCGAGCACTATTTTATTGTATCTTATATTCATATATATATATATATATATATATATATATATATATATATATATATATATTAACCCGGACACTTACTAGAAAAAAATAAATGAAGCAGCCACTAAAACTTACAAAAAGCACCAAGCTCTTACACTGAAAGTATAAACAAGGAAGCGAAAAATATCACAGCCAAACGAGGTATAAGTGACAGTGTCCATATATTCTGGTGTAAGCAAGTATTTCTAACTGTGAAGGACGCTAAAGACGATTTCCTCAGTAATTCCTCTTTTAGACTAATAAATTCAACAAAACCTGAGTTGGATAAAATAAGCCAAGAAAAAACTGGTAAAAAACGTGCAACTCATTAAGGATCGCTATAAAATCTAATCAATGGAAAGACAGAATTTCTTGGTTACACACGATTACAAATGAAGATAAACATTTGTTTGTAAAATACAACATAAAAGACTCTTACCCATTTATATCTAAGAATGTTATGCTTGAGGCTTTGTACCTCGCCAAAGGCTTCATAAATATAACCCCTGAACAAATGGACATAATTTTACATTGCCGTAAATCAATTTTATTCCTCAATGGATAAGCTTGGATAAAAAAAAAATATCAAAGGACTGTTTCGATGTAACACAAGGTTCCTTTGATTGTGCTGAGATTTCAGAATTAACAGGTCTATATATCTTATATGAAATCAACACATATAAGCAACCACGGACTATACAGGGATGATGGACTGATGATAGTGCCAGACACTAGAAGAACAAATAAGAATAGAGCAAAGATAAGCTCTTTTGAAACCCTTGAAAAGCCTCGACTTAAAAGCAGAAGTCGATATGAATAAGAAAATTGTCAAATGGATGTACAATTAAATCTACAAATTGACAGTGCCTCCCCATACTTAAAACCCGACACAAAATTCAAATTCGCGAATGTTAGATCCGACCACCCTGCGAGTATAATAAAATACATCCCCAAAAGTAGAATTCAGGTTATCTAGAAATTCCTCTTTCTTTCTTTTTATGTGCCGTATCCTTTCAGGATGTAGGCGATCATGGCTCTCCACCTCCTTCTATCCCTTGAAACTATCAACAAGTTCCATCCCTTTCCTTCCTCCCCCAGACCACGTTTAATGTAAATGTTGTTTAATACTGTTTACATTTGATACGCCATGAGCAGATATGAATGTACGTCAGAGATTCATGGAAGATTGAAGTTTAAATACAGTAAATTCGACCTTGCTATTCGAACGCTCCTCTGTGGCCAAACCGGTAAAGGCACGTCAAGCTAAATGACGGTTCCGTGTAGTATACAGTTTTGAATCCTTTCTGAGGACGAATATTTTCTATGAAACATTCAGGCCGGTAAATGTTGTTTAATACTGTTTATTATAAACAGATAATTTACTTAAATATTTGTATCTATAAAAAGAATGCATAAACATAAAATGTCTTTATATATATATATATATACAAACAAGTTTGATTAAAAAGAACAGACGAGGTTTGTCTTTTAAAATCTTATGATGTTTTCTAATTTTCGGATAATATTTTTTCAATTTTTGTCAGTCATTATCAAGAACTGACGTGGTGCCTATGTGGTAGTTATGCAAGACCATTTCAAATGTCTATGCTCCCAATGAATACGAGGATACAGACAAAGGAATTGTAACTATTAGGTTGGTGCAAAAATAATGACGTAATAATATCGTTTTTTGACGTATTTTTTAAGGTCAAAAAACGATATTATTACTTCATTATTTTTGCACCAACCTAATAATACTCGGTGACCACGTATGTGTGTGTGTTAACATTAAGATATACATGAAATATAACTGTAAAAAGAAACTATGAATAAAGGCAAACGGAAAACTCTTACTTGCTGTCATGTTTTGTATATATATATATATATATATATATATATATATATATATATATATATATATATAGAGAGAGAGAGAGAGGTTTCATCGTCTGTTGAACTATATCAAGGCATCTGTCTTGATAAAATTTCACACTCATCTTTTTGAACAAGACAAGATTTATCACATGTTTCTTGTTTAAGATTGTGTATCCGTTTTTTTTATCCTAAAGTATTCACATTTTCTTTCACTCTCAGTAGCCCTTTGCGTCTTAATGGCATTATTGACTTGTTTGGGGTGAATTGAATTTAAAAAAACAAAACAAAAAAAAAACAACTTATACTTATGTTTTCCGACCATGAGATCCTGGTCCGAATCTCCCCGTAGTGGATTTTTCAGGAAAGTTATTTTTGACGTTATCCTTCTTTTTCGGGATTTCAGTGAACTTCGGCAAGCGTAATTGTCCGGAAGTCGTTGACCGCTGCAATAGCACAACTTTGCAAGTCATCGTAGCTGAGGTTTTGAGCATAGATTTCATGAAAGATGATACGTTCTCTCCCACGAACTATAATTAAAATTCGCCCTGAACACAACTCATAGCTGCAGTATAAGCTAAACATACACAAATCTGGTTGGCTTCTGGCCGCATCACGTTCAAACACCGGTTCCAATACGATCAGCGAAGTTAAGCTACGTCAACTCTGGTCTTTACCTAGATGGGTGAAGGTTTGAGAATACCAGGTGCTGTAAGAATGGATGCGCGTGTGATGTAATGGCTAATGGTTCGCAAATTTTTATCTGAGTGCACAATTCTAATTCCCGTTGGGTTTGTTATATTCCCTTACGTGTAAATACGATTGGGGAAGGTAAAAATTCACCTCTTTTCCTCCCCAGCTATGGGTTAACCAGTAAGACTTGTATCAGTATACCATTATTATCTTCAAAAAATTATTAAAATTTAAAAATATTTTCTGGCATTAAATAAACTGCTAGGGTTAGATAAGCCATAGAAAAGTAATCCGTGTCTGCCACACACACACACAAACACACACACGCGTACATATATATATATATATATATATATATATATATATATATATATATATTAAAAATTAAAATCTTCAGAAACACTAGGTTGTATATTATTATTCTTTCGTTTTTATTATTATTTCATTTAGATTTTTCGAGTAGTTTCGGCCAACATAGTCATCATCAGGAGAATAAAAAAAATTCTGCTTGCTGGTCGCAGTGAACTATAGAAATGGATGTCTTGATGGAGAAAATGAACTTCTGTCTGCAGTTTTCATTTGTTCTTTTCTTTTTTTCTTTTATTAATATGAATTTTGGTCAGTCCTTGTGTTGGTCAAACAGTCTCTTTTAAGTTGTTATTTAAGATAAGAGTTGGATGGATTCATGCTGCTCTGAATTCTCTTGGTCATTTTGACAGTTTTATTGGTTCCTGGAAAGGGAATGTGTCTTTGTTAACTGTGTGTGTTATTTGGTTCTTAAGCAGAGAGTAAGTATAATGTGTGTAAGCGTGTATATTACTATGGGTGTATGTTATCATTTGGCTCATTAGGGATTGAATGAATATGTTGTGTGTAACTATGTATATTCGTGTAGGTGTGTGTATAAGTGTGAGGCTTCAGCACCTCCGTAAGCATGTCTGTCTTGTGTGGGTGAGAAATGTGGGTAGGTCTTCATTTGTGGGGTTATATATTAATACTATGTATATTGTTAAATTTGTGATTGAGCCCGTCTGGATAGAGCGTTTTTAAACATTGTATTGACTTATTTTAACGGAACTCTAAAATCTTTCTAATGTTATCTGCTCTGAAATTTTCTATTCTCTCAATTATAGTGAATTTGGCATAGGTTTTAAATCGTGTTTTTCTAGGCGGGTAATAATCTTTCATGGGAATTCGACTTAATTCGATTGCGATAATTATTATTTCTCTAGTGAAAGGGCCATTCAGATTTTCCTACATATTGTTTCTGGCAGATATATATATATATATATATTAAAATCAATAAAAGACATTGGTGAAACATTGGGTATAGCCAAAATAACAATTTCGAATGTTATGTAAAAGAAAGAATCTACTGGTGTACTTAGCAACAGGCATAGAACAGATACCCAAGGAAAACAACAGTTGATGACAGAAACATCGTGAAAGATGTGAGGAAAAAATTAAAAAGAAAAAACAAAGCCGTCCTGGTTAAGACGATAAACTACGTCCGACAGTAAAAAAAGCCTTTGTTCAGGAGGTTTTGAGGAAGTGGGGACCACCTCTTAATTACTGGTGTCCCAGTTCCAACTTGACTCGAGGTGATACCAACTAGTAGGGTCCCAACTATAGGCAAATAGTTAATCCCAAAACTGGGGTCAAAACTCTATGAAAGTGAAAAAATAGGTTTTAATACCAGCAATAAATTTTTGAGGAAAAATTTATTGCTAATATTAAAACCTATTTTATACATTTTTGAAGGAAAAATATATATTACCAGCAATACATATTTGAAGGAAAAAAATATTACCAGCCATACATTTTTGAGGAAAAAAATATTACCAGCAATACATTTTAGGAAAAAATGTTACTAGCAATAAAAATCTTGTCGGCATTAAATGTTGAAACTTGACTAATGCATGGAATAATAATAATACAACACAAAATGTACTTAGAACAAAGTGTATTGAAACAAGAATGTGTACACAATATTTACATATAGTCTTTTGGTATATTCTTGGGAAGACCGTTCCTGGAGAATGGGTTGACTGAGTCGCAGTCGGGCAGAGTCTCTGGTTGAATCTCTTGATTCCTTCCTCTCTTCCCGGTACCAACCATATTTATATGGTCGGTACTCCACTATGTAAATTAGGTGGATCCTACCACAACATTAAATAAGCCATTGAGGTTGATATACCGTAAAACGTAACAAATCAAAACAGACCAAACAAAAAGTTATTGACATCACCAACAACTTTCAGAGTGTATGGATAAAGGTTTCACAATCCACCGTTCGAAGAAGACTTCGAGAGAAGAAATATAAAGGTTTTACTACAAAATGCAAACCATTCATCAGCAGTAAGAAGTGGAAGGCCAGATTGGAATTTGTGAAAGAATTACAGAGATGAGCGACACAGTTTCTGGAAGAAAGTTTTATGAAACTGAGGAAACCAAGATTAATCAGGCTAATGTATGGCGGAAGAAAGGATCTGCTTATGATCCAAAGTATACAAGATCATCTGTGAAGCATGATTGAGTCAGGGTCTTGGTTTGGGCTTGCATGACTGCTTCTGGAACAGGCACATTCATATTTATTGATGATGTAACTTATGGCGGTAACAGCACAATGAATTCAGAAGTCTCAGTCTATATTTCTGAGATGAGGTATTATGTACACTATTTACATTATTCGGACTATTGTCCTCATCTTTGTAGCCATAATTATTACAACGTTCCGGCCGTACTCCGGTCTTCTTCAGGTGGGTGGAATGTCGAACTGAACCCTTTCTTTCGCTCACTGGGGTAAACTCTTCTAGTTCCACGTGCTATCTTTTTAATGGATGTCAGTTATCAGTTATCCCCTGTTAATTCCCAAGTTCTGCACTGACTTAGCCGGGTATTGAACTCACACTCTTTGGGTGCTTTCACTGGATCTAACCAACGCCTTTATCTACTGTGGCATGTGTATTTGACGATGTAAATAGAATTCAGAAGTCTTCAGAAACATTTTGTCTACCAATTTACCGAGAGATGCATCTGAACTAATCGCAAGGAAATCTATCATGCAACAGGACAATGACAAAAGACATACTGCCAACACAACAAATGACGTCATCAGGGTTAAAAGGCGGGGAGGTTGGCCAAGACGATCCCTGGACCGTAACCCAATTGAGTATGCATTTCGTCTCCTGAACAGGAGACTGAATGAAGAACCCCCCCCCCAACTCGAAAGAAGAAGAACTGAATGAGGCTACGTTAAAAGTCTGGAAAAGCCTCACAAATGAAGAATGCAACAGTTTAGTGACGTCAATGGTTCACAGGTTTGATGCAGTTAATGCAAGCAAGGTTTATGCAATCAAATGTTATATGTTATTTACTTTAAGACTGTTTCAATGGTTTTTCTCACATAAAAATGTGGGGTTCTGACACAAACGGTAGTATGCCTTATGCTGTTTAATACATGTAAATGAAAATGCCAACAAATAAAAGTTTAAATTCCTAAAACTTTTCATATATTCAACTTTTGTTGATAAATCCAAATATCTTCAGTGAACAAGAAAACAAAGAGATATATATATATATATATATATATATATATATATATATATATATATATATATATATATATATATATCCTCCCTTTCCAGCTGTTCATATCTATCTATTATCTATCTATCTATCTATCTATCTATCTGCCTGAGTCTCAATATCATTATATATATATATATATATAGAGAGAGAGAGAGATATGTATAGATATAGATAGACCTCTTCCATTTTAATTCATGATATTTTATTTTATTTAACATAATTTTGAAAGGCTGTTACTGTTGTTGGGTTTCTTTTCTGGAGATCATCGATATATATATATATATATATATATATATATATATATATATATATATATATATATATATATATATAACTTTTCACTTCAAGTAAGGCAAGTAAGCCTCTAAGACCAAGGGGGTTGCTGAGTGTGTAAGAATATAAGAAAAAGAAAAAATCGAGAATAATAAAAGAACATGAAATAAAGTAGACGAAATATAACGTCCGACATTGCATTTAAATTTTTGATAATCAAACTTGACTGGAAAGCAAGAATCCGGAAAAGTGTTCCACAAACTACAAGAGCAAGAGAAGAAAATATTTGCCTAGAACTTAGGCTTACATTTAGCCAATTCAACTGTAAAATGACGCGACAGAGTAAAGTTCATCAGTCCAATTACCATGAAAGTAACTAGAAAAGACGCAAGGCACCTACACCGTATGCAAATGAATTGAAACAAAACGAAAAATTCCGTAATTACCATGACCCATGTTAGTACTTCGTTTGTCCATTCCCCGTAGTCGTTCCTTGCAGATTGACCAGAGATTCTCGATTGGATTTAAATCAGGAGAGTTTCCGGACCAGTCTATAGTACTTTGATTTGCTCACTGGTAAGGCTTGCCAGTGTGTTCCTGCAGCGTTACAATTTTTCCTACGCTTCCTTGGATTAATGTTCATCGCGGATAATGAACGTAGGACAAATAATCGACAGTCGGGACAATAGTAACTTGGCGTGATAAAAAAATCCAGTGCAATCATGAACGCAGTATTACACTCCGAAAATCGATTCATATTACTTCAAATTATCACAGAAAATATGCGTCCTCCGACAGGAATCGAACCTGTATCCTATCCTGTCGGAGGACGCATATTTTCTATAAAAATTTCTCGGACATTCAGGCCGGTAAATGTTGTTAATACTGTTTATTATAAACAGAGCATTTACTTAGATATTTATATCTATAAAAATCACGTATAAAAACATAAAAAATGGCTTGTGTGTGTGTGTGTGTGTACGTGTGTGTACTTTTGTGTTAAATGAACGCTTTATAAATTCTTACAAGTATTGTTACGACCAGTGCGTTTCCTCCGAATTGATAGATAACGTAATTTTTATTCTTTTTCTCTTGTTGATACACACACACACACACACACACACACACACACACACACACACACACACAAACAAAAAAATCATATACGACAACTACGGTACTATACAATGAAAATATATCAGAAACAGAATACAAAAAGAAATGAAATAATGACTCTCCAATGGTCAGGGAAAAATTTCTGTTTAAAGAGACTATTCAACTTTGCTTGCCCGTTTAGACAATTCGTAACCGAGAGGTCTAAAGCATATTCATATATCTATCTATATCTCTAATCATTTTACAATGGAAAGTTATATATATATATATATATATATATATATATATATATATATATATATATATATATATATTTGGATTGTATACGGAATAAATTCCAAAATATACTATTCTTAAAAGAGAGCTCAATGCAGAGTAGAGCAAATTATTTATTCGAGAATTATAATATAAATATGTAATAAAATCAACATTCTACATTCAACACCATCACTTGATAAGACACCAGAAGTATTGAAAGAAAATGGCTATTTTTGTTGGGATTTTATAACATATTTATATTATAAATTTTCGAATAAGTAATTACACACACAAGAACAATTAAATTTAATTAGAATCCCTTACACCTTATTTTTTATTTATATATACATACACACACACACACACATATATATATATATATATATATATATATATATATATATATATGTATGTATGTATGTATGTATGTATAACGCAAACTTATCAGACTCCATCCAAAACATACTAATACAAAATACAAACATAATACTCTCATCTACATATAAAAAAATGGAAAATTTTAAACAAAACTAGAACTTGTAAAACTTTGGATGACCCATGCCCTTTATGCCTACATGAGAAAATGCACATTATTAAGTTTCGAAATAATAAAAATCTATTAAACAATAGACATGAGTTAACGGTTTTTTGCCGACATCATCAAATTTTCGGATTGAATAATTAGCATAAAAACAAACAAACAACAAAATAATTTTAAAATTCCATAGTCGAAATAAATAGTTTAAATGCCCTACAAAGAAAAAAGATAACCCTTTATGAAGTCGTCAAAAAAACAAATGTTAACGAATTATGACAGTTTTTTTTATACACATAACCCTTTCAGAAAAAAATAAAAAAATAAAATAAAAAAATAAATAAATCTCCATAGACACTTAACCAGACTAGACGATGTCATCTTCCGCTTTAAATTTAGACACCCCACTTTACCCTGACTTGACGTTTTTTAATGTAACTGAGATATTAATACAATTATTAACCTTTACGCCCTTTTCTTTAAATAATTGCTCTAGCCGTTACCATAGTAATTTTAATTTTAATAATGAATATGCTTATAAAACGCGTAAATTTCAGGAATTAGTTATTAAAAAAAATCGCTTGAAGGTGGAACAAGCTTAGTACTTTAATTCAATTTAATTCAAATAACTTTATTGAAGTTTTCGGCTCTTGTTTTGAAACATGGCAACTCTAATGTAGCGTTGGAATCATATTTTTAAATAAATAATTATATATATATATATATATATATATAACTTTTTTTTTATAGATACGGTGTGTCTATTAGAGTGTTTATAATGCTTGCATCAAACACAAACCAAATATCTTGAAAGCTAAAATGAAAAATATTCATTTTCTTTTGTTAAACACTTGTCTACGGTTAATGTTTCCCTGATCTCTAGATCCGTTCTTTGCAGTAACTGACGCTTTTTAGAGCTGCTCTTTTTTCTGCCATCTTTTTTGCTTTCAAACATCCTCAGCCATTTTTTCCCTCTTTTTTTTTTCCATAAGGCTCATATCATGATGACAGTCTTCTTTTCTCAGTAGAAACACGCATTCGTCCCAATAACATCTATTGTTCTCTATTCTTGAACAAAAGAAGAAAAATCAAAAGACATCTCCAGGGTATTGAGAGGAAGATAGAAAGAAATAAACAAACTTGCCTCAAGTTCTTACATTTTTATTCTAATAATTAATGTTAAATATTTTTTTTTAGTCTTTCGTAAAGAAATAGGACACTAGAATTTTCTTTTCTTTCCTCCCATTTTTAAGCTTTCTAGCTCCATTTTTTTTATATGTTTTACATTCGTCTTCATGTCTTGGACTATATATTATTTTCTTTTCTCTTTCTAATTGATTTCTGTTGTATCTATCACTTAAATTTATTACTTTTTCTTTCTTTCTTTTTTATTTCCTTTCTTTTTATGGTGTTATTGTCTTTATTTTACTCGTTTTGTTTGTTTCTTTCTTTTCTTCTATCCTTTCTTTCTTTCTTTCTTTCTTTTCTTTTCTTTCTTTCTTTCTTTCTTTTCTTTCTGCTGTCTTCCTTCATGGCGCTATTTCTTTTATTTTACTCATTTTGTTTGTTTCTTTCCTTTCTTCTACTATTTCTTTCTTTCTTTCTTTTCTTTCTTTCCTTTCTTCTTTCTTTCTTTCTTTCTTTTCTTTCTGCCGTTTTACTTCATGGCGCTGTTTCTTTTATTTTACTCATTTTGTTTGTTTCTTTCCTTTCTTCTACTATTTCTTTCTTTCTTTTTCTTTCTTTCCTTTCTTCTTTCTTTCTTTCTTTCTGCTGTCTTACTTCATGGCGCTATTGCCTTTATTTTACCCATTGTCTTTTTTCCTTCTTTCTTTTCCTGTTTTTATTGCCTTCACTGCACTCGTTGTCATTCTTTCTTTCTTTCTTTCTTTCTTTCTTTCTTTTTTCCCTTCCTTCTCATGACGTTATTGTCTTTATTTAACTCGTTGTATTTCCTTCCTTTTTCTATTTCATTCTTTTTTTTGGCATTATTGTTTTGCTTTCTTTCTTTTATTTATTTATTTATTTCCGTTTTTGTTTCGGTCTCTTTTTCTTTCTTTCTTTTTCGTCTAATGCATAGTTTTTCACTTGTTTTTTTTTGTTTGTTTCTTTTAAATTTAATTACTTTCTTCCTGATTTGTTCATTTAATTTCTTTTTGTTCTGAATTTCTTTTCTTTTATTTTCAGCCATATTTCTTTTTTGCTTTCAATCATTCGGTTCTTCATATTTTCTTTTCTTTGTTATTCCAACCTTTTTGTAAAACTTTTTTTCTTTATTTTTGTTAATTATTTACTTTCTTCAATTTACGCTTTCATTCTTACATTACTTCCTTCCTTTCTTCCTTTCTTTAATCTTTTATTCATTCATTTATCCTTTCTTTTTTTATCATGACAGTATTGACACTTTTTTTATTAATCAACTTTTACTTATTTTATCTTTTTTTTCTTTCTTGCTTTCTTCCTCATTGGTCTTGACACCTTTCTATTCTTATACTGATTAATTATTGTTTCTTTCATTCCTTCTTTCTTTCTTTCTTTCTTTCTTTCTTACTTCTCATTACCTTCTTGCTTTTATTTGACTAGGCTTTGTTTCTCTTTTTTCCTTTTGTGTTTACTTTCTTTTCTTTCCTTCTTTCTTCTCATGACATTATTGACTATTTCACTCGAAGTCATTCTTTCTTTCTTTCTTTCTTTCTTTCTTTCTTTTGTCCATGTATCCTCTCATGGTGTTATTGTCTTTCTTTTTTCCTTTCTTTCTTTATCGCATGGGATCTCTCTTTCTTCTTTATTCACTGCTTTTCAATTGCATTTCAAACATCTTCCTCTTTATTTTTTTCCTTTTTTCAATCTGATATTCTCATTCGTGGAATTTAAAATTTCTTTCTTTCATTTTCACTGTAAAACTTTTTTTCCATTTCTTTTCCCTT